ATCAGTCTTTCTGAGGTTACAAAAGAGCTGTGTCCTCCATATGTGGTTAGATTTTATCAGATCATCCAGGTAAGAAATTAAACCAGGAAATTCATTGTGAATTGCATAGAAATAAACATTTAACAGCTCCTTTCAGGCTTGCAGCTGTACAGAAAATCCAGTGGCCCAAATCTTCGTCTGTGGAGAATTAAGAAGGTACCCTGAGGTTTTAATGAGGCTGCCTTGATTTATGCAAAAGCATGGATCTTGTTTAGCCAGCCTGCACTTAAGTGATTTAGGAACATGGTGAAAAAGTCCCTAGGACCTCTAATACTTGGACATCTTATAATTATGAGATCACAGACAGATCTACCTGGTTTGAAAATTTCAGCCCTTTTTTATTTCCAAAACTTTTTTAAATCTACATTTTGCATACTCTGAGTCCCTATGCTAGGTTGGTTTTTTTCCTTTCTAAACACTCAGAATTTTCCAGTTTATCTTCAACTCAGCCATGCTAAAAGCTTCAGGCTGTCCTAGTCCTAAAAGACAGCGGAATGAGTCCAGCTTCAGGTTTAATAGACAACATTTAACATCTCTTGCCTTTGGGTGGGTCTTCTTTCTTATTGAAACAGAAGTCGAACCCTCACTAAAATCTGAGGGATGATTCATCAAAACAACCCTTTTCACTTCTTTCTGGGCAAGTAAATAGTCATTTCAAGGCCTGAAGCACCTCAGAGAAGTTCCTCTACTCCTGGTCCAGCTGCCTGCATGGTCTGGCACTGAGCTGAGCAGATTACCAATGACACTTCATCAAATGCCTTCAGACACACAAACAGTGAGATTCAGGCCTTTTGATGAGATATTTTTAATGAAAACACAAATGCTGCCCAAAATTCAGGGTTTAAGGCTCTGGTTTTAATATTTTTTAGTTCAGGAACAGCTGAGCAGCTGTGGATTGCCAGGAGCTCTCTCTAGGGATCCTCTAGTGCTAATGAGCATAATTAACAACAGGATCTGGTTGGTGGATGCTAACGGGGCAGAGTCAGGTACAAATGTTACTCAGAAGGATTGAAATCCAAATGACTAACAGAAAGAGGACAAAAGCACTATTTCCTGTATGTCACAGATAAAGATACACCCAGAAATGGACCTGCCAAATATCAAAGATGGCATAAGAAGCTCATCCAGGACTTTGTTCCTTCCTTACATGACTCAGAAGCCTGCCTCTGTCTGGAAAATCATTTTTGGTGGCACATAACTTTGGGCTGGAATTAGATGGTTTTAAATGTCCCTTCCAACCCAAACTATTCAGTGACACTGTGAACAGCAGGGGACAGTTCATCTTTTCTCAATAGAGGATGAAAGCCGAGTAAAACCCTGTCATGGATCCTTGCCTAATATGTTCTTACAAAATTCCAGTGGTGGATACTCAGAACCCCATGGACAAGCTTTCATCTGTCTTTAGAGGTGCAAAGTTTGAGATTAAATGGCTCCTCCTTTTGTTTTGTACATTTGCATCCCTCTCACTGCTTTCTCCCAAACTTTGATTAATCCGAAACTTTTCCACTGGACACAGACAATTCCAGCACGTCTTGCCAGAGCCAAGCACAAAGATTGCTTCACCAAGGTTGATGTGACACTGACCAGCCCTGTCCATCCCTGCCTGGACAGGGCAGGTTAGTGTCACATAACTAGCCTGCCCTGTGTTTAATGACCCTCCTGACCTCAGGCTCTTGGTGGTCTCCAGGTGTATGAGCTCTTCACTGCCATAAATTCATTTTTCTTTGAGGATTTTAGGAGAAAATCTGCGGTTGCTTCCTTCTGCTTCCCTCCACTCTGGAGAGATGTCCCATAACAAGGATATTGCTCACAGATGGGCTGATATATTGAGTATATTAATGACAAAAGTCATAAATAGAAATGTATTTATTTCCATGGTGCATTTAAGAGCCTGGAATAAACTACCAGTATGGCAAGGTCTATGTACCAGTAGAAACAAAACCCAGAGTGGGGTTCAGCTCCTTTCCCTCCCCTCAGTCGTTTAGACTCCTTTCCCAATTAATTGATGGAACCTGTGTTGCCTCATCTGTAGATAGGCATCTAAAATAAGCCTGCTGAATCACAGCCTTTAAGCATCTTTAGTAACTCAGGATTCCCTTCATCCATTTAGGGTTTGCTCTCTTCCAGCACCCTTTGTTACTCAGGGAAGGAAGAGACCTCCAAGCAGCCTCCAAAAACCATCTATCTTCTGTAGATGCACAACAAAACAGGCACTGCATGTGGCAAGAAAACTGTGGAGAAAGAGCAGTTGAGCATTTAGAAAGCACCTCATTTTTTCAGTTTGCAAGTTCCTCAAAATCAGTTTGATTTTTTTTTTTTTTTTTTTTTTTTTTTTTTTGCCCCCTCACTTCGCTGTTTCTTCTCATGGGATTTTTTACTCTCAAACAGACAGCATGGTGTAGCTGGAGCTGCCACAAGGGTGACTACACTGTCTGAAACTCTTTGCCCAACCTGCACAAATTGCACATTCCTGGGAGCTGCTTTTTCAATTTTTCCTCCAGTAGCAATTACTATCCCAGAAGCAAGCAGGCACTCTGAATTTGTTGGACCAGTGATCAGGGCTGCTGACAAGAGCAGATCTGCTTTCAGTACTCTCCTGGGGGAATCTGAGCATTACTTAAATTTACCTCTGTCTGTGAAACTCTTGAACCCAAAACCCCAAACTTTCCCTCTCAAAGTTACTGCCCAGGAGGAGGAGGTGGAGAATCTGTCATGCAAGAATAGGCACATGGTTCATCTACTTCCTTGTGGCTACAGCGTTTGCTGGCCTTTGGGTACGAAATCCCACTCTGTGTCCCCTTCACTTCAGGACATCACTTTTGTATCTGTTCTTCATTGGGGACTTTGGACAATATTTTTTTTTTAACTGTAACTAAAAGCCATGTGAAATTCAACCTCCCTTCAACAGCACCTTCTGCTGGAGGAATTTCCTCCTTAAACCCCCCTCTCCAGTCAGTTGTGCCTTGTCCCTCCATGCAGAATCACCAGGCAGTTTGTCCTGCCTTCATCTCCTTGTTCTGTTTGTCCTGCAGGAAATTCTCTTTTTAGATCCCAGAAATTTTGTGTTAACTCATGAACAGGAGTTTTGTTATCTGCCTTCCACTCTCTGGTCTCTGCAGGAGTTTGAGTGGAAGAAAAAAAAAAAAAAAGAAGAAAAGAGAAGAGAAAAGAGAAGAGAAAAGAGAAGAAAAGAGAAGAGAAGAAAAAGAAAAGAAAAGAAAAGAAAAGAAAAGAAAAGAAAAGAAAAGAAAAGAAAAGAAAAGAAAAGATTTAAAACCACACTAGAGAGTGCTCTTTCTTTCTGGGCAATACGGGAGTGGCATTGAATTACGGTAATGGTAAGACTACTGCTCTGCTACATAGCAGAGCAGCAAAGTTCCTGCTGCTCCTTGGCAGTGTGGAGCTGAGCTCGGAACGGGGCACGGATCCCTCCAGGGAGCCTGGAGCCAGCCCCTCACAGCCGCGGGATACAGGGAATCAGCCCCACCGCCAGCCGCTGAACTACCAGTGGGGCAATAAAGGGAGCAAAGCAGAGGATTTCCAGGCACGGAGCCCCATCCCTGCATGAAAGAGGAGCCTGCTGTGCTGAGAATCTCCTTCCCAGATGCTCACAGGAGCTGTGCTGCCTTCTGAAGACTGAAGAGGTGGGTGTGGGGCAGACACAGCAGCTTGGGGTCTGCTCTTCCCAGCATCAGCTATCTCCACAGGCTGAGCATTATTTGATAATGATCACAATTATAATCCTCAGAGATGCTCGATGCAACACTCACTTTTCATGTATGCGCTTAGATAATCTGTCCTGTTCTTCCCTGGGATTATTCCTCAACTTGTTCCATCTGGTGGGAAAGAAAATAAGATCTAATTTCATTTTAGTGTACTGAAGTAAAATACCCACCGTGTGATACCTATCCATCTCCCCCTTCCCCCCTCCTCCCTGCCTGTGAACTGGGAATTTTGGGGCTTCAGGGTTTGAAATGCTTTTTCCTGCAGGAAAGTTCAGTGTGACGGTTTGGAAATGGGACAGTTGTTACTGCTTAAAGTGCGATCTGAGGGACTCATCCCAAAGGACGCTTAAGAGAGTCCTTCCTCATCTGGGGTTTTACAGCCACAGTCTTAGTGGTGGTTTTTCACCTCTGATTAATATTTGGGATGGAAATTCTATATCCATATGGAGATGTTGGGAAAGGTTTTGCAGCTCCCACTTGCAGCTCTCCTCTCTGTGCCCCCCAGGTCTCGGTTCCCAGGCTAATCCTCACTTTTCCATCTGAGGTACCTTTTCTCCATATTTAGTCAGCAAAGGCTGAGCTTGGCTTCCAGATACCCTGAAATGTTGTGTCACTCACTAGGAGGCTTGCTCCTTGCAACGTCTTCTGCTTGGCTTTGGAGTCGCTTTTCCTTATAGATTTTCAAAATTGGCAGCTCAGCTGGACTAACATTTTAGAGGGGAAAAGTCTCACTTAATAAAGAAACCTGAGATTAAATTTTGGGCTTCTAAATCTGCTGCGCAGTCTGTATAGTCCTGAATTGTAAGTCCTGCAGGCTTCTGTCTTTCCTAGAACTGGTCTCTACAGGTGAGCTAATAATTAGGATTGATGCCTAGCCCCATAAAGAAGGGAAAATTCAGGCAGGAAAACCCACTTGGATCTCTCAATTGCTGTTAAACAGTGCTGGGCTGGAAAAGGTTGGTTCCACTGGCTGGAGCCAGCCTGAGGAAAGCACCCTAAAATAGCCTCCTGCTCTATTCATATATGGGAACCCTAGCAGCGAGTGTGGCTTCTGGGAATCGCATTGTTCCTGTTTTTGTCTTCTCCAGGGGGGTGAGGATCTGCAGACAGCACGAGAGCATGGCCCTATGCGCACGGCAAACTCCACTCTTCCCCTCAGAGCAAGCCAGGAGATGATGTATATGAGCTTTAATTTGCAGCCCAGGACCTCGACTGATGAGTGCTCCACATATGGAAAGCTCTGACTGACAGCCTAAACCCTGGATGGGGAGTGATGGCTATCTCAAACAAAATTGCTGAGCAGACACAGCAGCAACCTCCACCCAGTCAGGTTTCTAAGCCATTTTTAAGGCAGAATCAGGACTAACACCAGGCAATTAAAAGCATCAGTGATTTCCTCTCAGGAGAAGCTAAATTGGAGACCCTTTGGAATATTAATTTTCCTTAAATACAGAACCTTCCCCAAAAGACAGAATTTATTTTAACCTGCAGCTCCAGTATTTCTCATCACATAGCCCTGGAAAGTGGGACAAACAGCCTCAGGTTTTTGTAGCCCCACTTGTGCACGCCAAAGAAAATGCAGAATGAGTTAAATTTGACTAGGAACTTGTGAGTATCAACCATGTTGTTCTGGTGAAAGCTTAGGAGCAAGGGTAGGTTTTCTAATATGTTTCTGGATCTTTCTCATTGCTGCCGGTGCTGCAGTTCTAAAACATTCTTCAAAACTCTTTTCCCCAGCAAGGCTAAGCAAATGTTGCCTATAGGACCTTCCTGATCTTGTCACTGTTCCTGCCTGGAAAGGGGGTGAAGTTCAGCAGCCTCACATGGACATTACCAGCCATGGCTTTCCTCCCTGGGAACTCCTCCGAGTGCTCCAACTGCACCCACTCTGTGGAGCCTGTGAACATTTCCAAGGCCATCTTACTGGGTGTTATTCTAGGGGGGCTGATTGTTTTTGGGGTTTTAGGTAATATCCTGGTTATCCTGTCCGTAGCCTGCCACAGACACCTCCAGAGTGTCACCCACTATTACATCATCAACCTGGCTGTAGCTGACCTTCTCCTGACTTCTACCGTCCTGCCCTTCTCAGCTACCATGGAGATTTTGGGTTACTGGGTCTTTGGGAGGATCTTCTGCAACATCTGGGCAGCTGTTGATGTGCTTTGCTGCACTGCTTCCATCATGAGCCTCTGCATCATCTCCATTGACCGATACATCGGGGTTAGCTACCCACTGAGGTACCCCAGCATAGTGACAGAGAGGAGGGGCCTCCTGGCCCTGCTGTGTGTCTGGGCACTGTCCCTGGTCATCTCTATTGGGCCCCTTTTTGGCTGGAAGGAGCCAGCCCCAGAGGATGAGACTATCTGCCAGATCACCGAGGAGCCTGGCTACGTCTTGTTCTCAGCGCTGGGCTCCTTCTACCTCCCCTTGATCATCATCCTGGTGATGTACTGCCGGGTCTATGTGGTGGCCAAAAGGGAAAACAAAGGGCTGACCTCTGGGCTGAAAACAGAGAAATCCTATTCCGAGGAGGTGACCCTCCGCATCCACCGCAAAAACATACATGGTGCAAGCGGATCTGCACCCAACCCCAAGAGCAAGCACCACTTCTCTGTGCGCCTGCTCAAGTTCTCCAGGGAAAAGAAAGCTGCCAAGACCCTGGGAATAGTTGTGGGATGCTTCGTTCTCTGCTGGCTCCCATTTTTTGTAGTAATGCCTCTTGGTAAGTAGAGCTAACCCCTGTGTGTCTTCCAGCACCTTCTGGGCAGGGAGGGTTGTGCTTGTGGCTGGGTGTGGTAATGCCAATCAGAAAAGCTCTGAGGGAACTATTTTGTACTGCAAAGCTGTCAAAAAAGCAGAACACTCACCACCACAAAGCAGGCACCGTGAAAAAAATGCGAGTCTTAAATTAGACCAAATCTGGTCTCTGGTGAGGAGAAACAAAATTCTGAAAACCAGGGAAGAAATCTTGTACCTTTTCCACATATAAAATTTTCTTTCGTGAACTAGAGCAGATATTTGTGACCATCTCTGCTATAGGAGCAGGATCTTTAGGGGTTTGTGTGTTTATGTTTGCAGCCAGGCAACTTAAACATGTGAAAGGTCATAATATAAATACATTCAGGGTTGAAGTAGCTGTTCACAGATCTCCTGGAGTGCTCAGCATTGATGATTCCCACTCCAAGGAAAAAAATATCTGCTTCCTATCAGGAAATTCATCCTGTGAGATACCATAACTCCAAACTAAGTTAATCTTTTAATGCAATTTTTCATATGGCCAGTCAGGAGACAGCAGTGAGGGTCCTTTCAACAAATTTTATACTGCTCTGGATTGCAGCTTTTCTGAGAACCCACTGAGCCCACTGGCCAAACAATGGCTCAGCCACCATGCTGTAGGTGAATATTTATTCTCCAGTTGTCATTCCAAAGAGGAGCAAAGCTGGGGATTTGTTCTGCTTTGCTGGAATATAAAGAAGTAATTAGAATTTTAATTAAACTTTGCTCAGTTACCTTTGATGCAGTTGCAGGATGGAAAAGCAGAATACTAACTCCATACCTATAGCTGAGGGTGAGAAACATGGCTCATCACACTGAGTTGGGCTCCGCCATTAAATATTAGGTTTTTCAAAAATGGAATCTAAAATCTGTGACTTGCTCAATTTCAGGGCTTTTTTTATGGAAAGGGCTTATGCTGTACAGGAAAAATAAAGTAAGATTTTATGGAAGCTTTAGTTAGTAAGACAACAATATGGACAAGACAGAAAAGGTAAAACAGCCTTACCTAAACATGAAAAGAAAGATTTGGGGATTTTATTTTCCTTTTTTTTTTTTTTAATTCTATTTTTTAAAACTTTAATAAATAACTGTTCTTTTTCAATTAACCTCTCTCTACTGGCTTTACCAAGATTTATCAAGACACACAAAAACTTGTTGCTAATGTAAAAAAAAACCCAAATTCAGAATTTTTTCCACTTGGTCAATACTGGGAAGTGCTGTATTGGAACTGTTTCCTAAGGAGAAGCCCTCCATGGCCTGGCTCATGCTGGCCAGGATGTCAGCACGTTGGAATGCTGCTTGCCAAGATGACTGAAACATACTCAAAAAGGGTTTGAGAGAATGCATTAAACACACTTTTCATCTGCAAATGTGATTGCCCACACAGAGCTGTTGTTAATTAATTTGCTTTGGATTTAAGAAATCTTCTGGGCTCCAGAATGGCTATGTATCCTCCTTTGATCCCTTGTAAGGAAACTCTGGAGGGTTTTTTTCCCTTTTTTTGGGAAGTTACTGGGCCTTTTTAAAGCATATATTATAGGGCTTTCAAAACCTATTTGCTGCTTTTGTTTAAGGACAAAAAACTGATTAAACAGACGAGTGGCACTAAAAAAAGTCCTCAAAAAAGCCAAGGACTCATCTTGATGCAGGGCACTTTCCAAAAAATCACAACCACTTTCAGGCCTGAAGCCAGGCCCAGTTGGGATAGGGAAGGGAAGTGATCCTGACAGGGTCTTGGGGTCCTGTCAGGGTCTGAGTTTCCAGATGTATAAAATCCTCCTTGTTGAAATCCTGGTGGAGGCTCATAGCATACATGGCTGGGCAACCAGAACTTGACCAGCTCTGTAGCTTTGTGGCCATGGGACAGACCAAAACATGGTCCCATCAACCAGTTCTGGAGGGATTTGACTGATGTGGAGGTGCCATGCAAGGACATTGTTTATAGGTGGATTTGGACGGCTGGACTCAATGATCCAAGAGATCTTTTCCAACCTAAAAGCCTATAATTCCATGATTCCATCAGCCAGACCACTCCCAATGCAGATTGCCCACAAAACAGACATTCTTAAACTGCTACAGAAACCACTTCAGACAATTGTGCTCATCATTCCATGCAGCACAACTTCCCCAAACCTAGATTAATTTCACTGTGATCTACAGCACCTTCAAAATTTCCACATCCATTGACATCCACTCTGCCAGCCAAGAGCTGCATCCAAGCAAGAAACGCTAGGTTTACGGAAGTGTATCACAAAGCAGGGTGGAAGCCTTTGAGGTGTAGGTATGGGAAGAGCAAGACGGGTGGAAGGATATAAAGAAAGGCACAATATCCATGTTGGCTGATTCTACTGAAAATAACTGGAGAAACAACTGGAGTATCCCTGATATAAGAAATTATTTTAATTGAAACTGGAGTGTAAAGGTACCGGTTGCAGTCTGTGTAAGGAAGGTTTTTTTCTCTTAGTATCTTGGATTAAGTTTCATTCCAAAGGTTCTGAGCAAAATCCTTCAGCCCAATAATCCAACACATCTTCTTCTCACTTAGCTTGAAGTTTGTGGAAAAAAAACAGGAAATGATAATCCTGTTGCAGGAAAATAAGTGAGGCCTATATTTGCTTTTCAAAACTTCTGTAACACACAAGGTTATCAGAGCTTTGGTTTCCACTGGTAGAAGTCAGGCTTTCATTACTGTAAGCAGAACCAAGCAGAGCTGACATCAGTGACAGCTTCAACTGACAGTTCAGTGACCACCAGACAAACACAAAATAACAAAACAGAGACAGGAAAAAGCAGCTTTGAGGCTGTCTGCATCTCTCAGAGAGGGTTACGGAGAACAGCCTGAGCTTATCAGCAGCTCCTGGGCCACGGGGCAGGGGGTTTGTGGGGAGAGGCTCAGATGTGGCTTCATCTGGACAATCAGGGCTTGTTGGGCTCTGGCATTCCCAATCACAACCTGCATTTTTGGCTTTTTGTTCTCCTCTTGCAATTTCTAGAAAGGGATATAGGATATATGTAGATAGATAGACAGATGTAGAAAGACTCAGAGCTGGAAGAGCCCAAAAATCAATGAAAGTGATGGAAAGTTTTCATGTTACAAGTGATAGAACAGACCTTGTCCTGTAACTGGAAGACATTTATATGTTGTTCTGGGAATTCTTCAAAAGGTTTCCTTTCAGCAAAATAGAAGACAGTGCTTGGAGGTTGTTTTGAGGTGAAACATGCACAGAACTGATGGAAGAAAGGGTTGGGGGTGTTGCAAAAACGGTCCTGGCCTGGGTCTAATAATCTTAACAAATTCTCAGAAGAGAACAAGTTTCCAGAGCTTTGCTTGTGGTCTGTTTTCTGTGGATCAACTTGTAGGTGTTGCTTTCCAAAGCTGGAAGAAATAAGAAGGGGAAGTCTGAGCTAGGAGGCCACAGGGGAAAAAATCCTAAACTGTGCAAGGGAGAGGAAGGGCTTTAGCATTTGTCAATCATTCTTGTGATTAAGAAAGCAAAAAAGAGGATCTGCTGGAGGGTGTCTCTGTTTGTGGTCTAGGAGTAAATTAGTCTTGTGAACTGACACAAACACTGTCAAGGGAATCCTCTAATCCTGTCTGCAGATGGTTTCTATTTACTATTTTGTGGTAATTTTTTTTAATGGAGCCAAAGAGAACCACTCTACTTTCATTACATATAAACCAGAAAAATAAAGTGCATTTTTCTGTCTCTGCTGTTGACACAACATGACCTCTCAGAGGGTCACAAGGCTCAGAGTAGCAACACACATCAACACAGACTCCTCACATTAATATTTCAGTGTTCTCTCAGTGAGAGAGAAAAAAAAAAAGATATAAAAGTGGACGAAAACCCCAGAATAAAGCCCCAGCTCTTTCTCTGGATACCAGCTCAGGGAGAGGAAGGATGCTTGCCCTCCTTGAGTCACGGAGCACAAGTGTGTGTGTGTGAGTTAAACCATTGAGTGGGGAGAATTTGAACCATGAAGATAAACAGACATGACATTTCCATGGCAAGGGTTTTTTTAGTTTTTTTTTGCTGATCACAAGGGGCATTTTTCATAATCACAGACTGGAAAGGCACTGTTGCTCTGGGCTGATAATTCAGCTAATGACAAAGATCCCATGGACATCCCTGGGCTAACATTTCTCCACCATTCCCAAATCCTGAAATGTGTCCCAGTGACTGAAAACACAGCAAAGGAGGGGAGGAATCAATATTAAAAACCATTTATACTAAAAACAAAGTAGGGAGGGTCGATTAGCTGTGCTCTGCTTTGAGAGCCACTCCCGTGGCTCTCCCGTGTGTGTCACCTGTCACAGGAGCCTCGTCCCTGTCTCAGAATATCCCTTGTCATGCAGCCACCACCTTCAAGTCCCCAGAGTAAAGGAAGCAGGAGTGTCATTTTTCACTCGCTCTCAAATGCCACAGCACAGTTCAGGGTTGGGGAGTGATGGAAAGGCCGTGGTGAGTGATCCTCCCACCCCACTGAGCAAATGTCAGGATTTGTCTGCAATTTGGATAATGGGAGAGGTACTTGGCTCTTGCTGAAGGAGATAATTTCTTGTTTCTTACTCCAAGGATTCCAAAATCATGACAGACAACAAACTCATGAGGCAGCCTGAGACTGACCCAGCTTCTCAAACTATTTTTTGGTTGTTTTTTTTTTTTTAATATTTAAAGGAAAATTATTATTTTATATTAAGTGAATTACTTCAAGAGTGAGGGCTTCAGGGCAAATATCAAATATCTCCAAAATGTCAGCAATGGGATCCAGACCCATTCCACTGCAGTAAGAGCTTGGGAACTGGAATTGGAGTGACAATTACATTGATTTGTGAAACAATGTGATTGTTTGGGTTCACACGGGTAACAAAACCTCAGTTTACCTTCCCATGGTTTTTTATCAGCTTTCTAAATCTGCAGCTGCCCACAGCAAATCTGGAAATAG